TGCTTTTTATCTTTCTGTAGTTCTTGCCTTAATTCTTCAAGAAAACTTGTTTTTTTTAGATTAACTTTTTCATATTTTTGCCTTTCTTTAGCTATTATTTTAGTTCTTCTAGAAATTCTTATTGAGCTCATATCCAATCTTCATTTTTCTTTAAGGCTTTGCTTATAGATAGTTTCAAGTCATTGTCTTCTTCTGTGTTTGTGTTTTGAGCTTTCTCGTCACCATAGTAACTCTTTATGATTGGGTTCTTTTTTGTTTGTTTGTTTGTTCGTTCTTCCAGTCTACTTATTGACTTAACATTTTATGTTAGTTTTGGGCTCTGCTCACCTCTAGGTATGATGTCTGACCTGAACTTCAGTCACTTTCACAGCTCAGTCTACAGGCCTGCAAATTTGCAGTGTTTCAAAAGCAGTATAATCCTAGTGAGGTCTGTTCACAAACCTCTTTGTCTGAGCTCCGCAAATTACTGATTCAGGTTTGGGTTTGTTGGCTTGAGTGTAGTTGAATTTCTTTTTTTTTTCTTTTTTTTTTTGGTGAGGTGAATGGGATTAAGCGACCTGCCCAAGGTCACACAGCTAGTAAGTGTTAAGTGTCTGAGACTGGATTTGAACTCAGGTCCTCCTGACTCCAAGGCCAGAGCTCTATTCACTGTGCCACCTAGCTGCCCCAAATGTAGTTGAATTTCAGTAGAATGCTATTGGACTCAGTCACTGTTAGCTTCCTGGGAGGTTCTGTACTACTGGATTCCTTCTTTGTCTTAGTCCTCCTCCCTCGTTTTTCCATTATATGCATGTGTGCTGGGCTAAACATTAGAACCGAGGCATTGCTCTGTTCTTGGGCTCAGAGTCACATAACTAAGTTTCTGGAAATTGTTTTGTGCTTTGTACTCAGCTAGCCACCCCCTAACCTCCCCCCCAAAAAAAAACTTTACAAAAAAGTTACAGCTATTGTTCTCTGCCCTGGATTGCTGGCCCAAAACTGGGTAATGAGTGACAGTTTCCAGATGGCACCCAAACATTTCTGCTCCCAGCATTAGTTCAGAAGACCTCTGAGATCTCTTTCTGCCTCAGTGCTTTATTTTGGGTCCTTTTTTTGTCCCTGGGCACTGGAATGCTCCTCCTCCAACTGCTGCTGAGACACCATTGGATTGTTCTCCTAATCAGCATCTACCTAGTGTCTGCAGACCTCTCTGTCTTCCCAAGCTATACTAGATGGGAAAATTACTCACTGCGACTTTTTCTTGGCTTTCCTATTGAGAATTTGGTCTGGTGCATTTTCTAGGTCATCATGGAGGAAGTATATTGAGAGAAATAGACAAAAATGCTGACTCTCACTCCCCCATCTTGATTTCTCCTCCCCGCACTCCTCTCCCCCATCTCCCACAAAGAGAGAAGTTTTAATGGAAGGGAAGAGCTCCTGGAGGAGACACAAGGGGATGGAATTAGGAGCACAAGAAGAAACGTTGGATTTGGCAAGAATTAGGACCTTTTCATCAGAAATTTGAGCAATGAAGACAATGGGAAATGATGTTGAGAGATTTTGAAATGTGGAGTAAGAAAGAAGAGAGATGTTTACATTCCTGCTTGGAAAGATGATATTTGTAACTCATGAGTCCTTTGTCAGTATTAGTGTAGTGGGAGGGAAAAAACTATATGTATGTATGGACAGACAGACAGACAGATAGATAGATAGATAGATAGAGGACACAGGGTGAGTTGAAGATGAAGGGGTGATATCTGGAAAATAAAATTAAGGGGTGAGAGTGGATTATACTGGGAGAAGGAGAAAGGGAGAAGTAGAATGGGGCAAATTATCTCACATGAAACAGACAAGAAAAGGTTTTTACAGTGGAGAGGAAATGGGGGAAGGGAATGAATGAATCTTATTCTCATAGGATTTGGCTTAAGGAAGGAATAGCATACACAATGGGGTATGGAAACCTATCTTACCCTACAGGAAAATAAGGGGGGAAGGGGAAAAGAGAGCAGGGGGTTGACAGAGGGAAGGGCAGATTGGTGGAGGGGATAATCAGAAGCAAACACTTCTGAGGAGGGACAGGGTCAAAAGAGAGAATAGAATAAATGGGGGGTAGGATAGGATGAAGGGAAATATACTTAGTTTTTCACAGCAGGACTACTATGGAAGTGTTTTGCATGACTACACATCTATAACCTGTATCAAGATGCTTGCCTTTTCAATGAGGGTGGGTGGGGAGGGAGGAAGGGAGAAAATTTGTAACCCAAAGTTTTAAACACACATGTTAAAAAAGAAAAAAGAAAAAGAAATTAAAAGAAAAAAAAGAAAGCAGAGTTTGTGATGAATGACTTCCATTGTTTTTTTCAGTAAAGTAGTAGATAAGGTCCTTGAATGAGAAGGAAGGAAAATGATGTGGTGTAGAAATTTGAGGAAAGAGAAATATTGGAATAGCTATTATGGAGAGTGCAATAAAGAGTCAATCAGGGAAGAAAGAATAAACAGATTATTATGTAGCAGTGAGGGCACAACTGAAATTAGATACTATAAATTTGTAGTGAGTCAGTACAACTGTGTGACTTTATTTTGTTCTGAACTTAAGAAATAAAACATGCATTTCCATAATATGGTAGAATAGAAAAAATAAGATTGTACATGAAACCCCAGATCTATTATGTACAACTCACTATTCTTTTTAAATGTATAATAAAGTTATCATGTAACTTTGTTCTCTGTTTCCCTTTTTTCTCCCCTCTCCCACCCTAGAGATGGCTTCCACTAGACACAAATCTATGTATGTATACACACACACACACATATATGTAAAACCATTCTATACATACTTCTATTTATCAACTCTTTCTCTGAATGCAGATAGTATCTTCCTTCATAGGTCCTTTGTAGTTAATTTGGGTATTTATAATAGTCAAAATGACTTAGTCACTCAAAGTTGTTCTTAAAACAATGTTGTTACTGTATACAACATTCTGTTGGTTCTGTTCATTTCACTCTTCATTATTTCATGCAAGTCTATCCATGGTTTTCTAACATTATCAAGCTCATCATTATAGCACAGTAGTATTTCAACACAGTCATATACCACAACTTGTTTAGCCATTCCTAAGTTGACAGGCATTCCTGCTATTTCCAGTTCTTTGCCATCACAAAGAGTACTGCTACAAATATTTTAGAACATATGGGTTCTTTTCCTTTTTCCCTAATCATCTTGGGAAACAGAACTAGTAGTAGTATTGCTGGGTCAAAAGACATAGGTAGTTTAATAACTTTTTGAGCATAATTCCTGATTGCTGTCCAAAATGATTGGATCAGTTCACAGTTCCACTAACAGTGAATTAGCATCCCAGTTTTTCCACATTTCCAAACACTTACTGCTTTCCCCTTCAATCATTTTAGCCAATCTGATAGATGTAAAATGATATCTCAAGGTTATCTGAATTTGCATTTCTCTAATCAATAATGATTCAGAGCATTTTTCACATGACCATAAATTGTTTTAATTTCTTCATCAAAAAACTGCCTGTTCATATCCTGATCATTTATCAATTGAGGAAATGACCCTTTTCTTATAGATCTGCCAAAGGTCTTTATATATTTGAGATACGAGATCTTTATCTGAGAACCCAGCTATGAAATTTCCCTCCAATTTTCTGCTTTCCATCTGATCTTGGCTACATTTGTTTAATTTATACAAAACCTTTTTATTTTAATGTAATTGAAATTATCCATTTAACATCTCATTCTGCTTTCTCTCTTTTGTTTATTCACAAATTGTTCACCTATCCGTAAGTCTGATAGATAATGTATTCCCTGTCCTTCAAATTTTCTTGCAATATCTCTCTTTATATCTAGGGCATGTATCTATTTTGATCTTATCTTGGTAAAAGGTGTTAAGATATTAGTCTATGCCCAATTTTTTCTAGACTGCTTTCCAGTTTTCCCAGCAATCTTTACCAAATGAATTCTTATCCCCAAAACTTGTTTCTACATTTGTCAAATAAAAGGTTATTATATTTATTTGCTCCTGTAAATTGTATGTCTACTGTGTTCCACTGATCTACCTTTCTATTTCTTAGTCAGTACCAGATAATTTTGATAATTACAGCCTTATAATATAGTTTAAGATCTAGTACTGCTAAACCACCTTCCTTTACTTTTTTTTCCATTAGTTCCTTTGATATTCTTGACTTTTTGTTCTTCTAAATAAATTTTATTGTTGTTTTTCTAATTCAGTAAAATAATTATTATTTGGTAATTTAATTGGGATGGCATTGACTTTCTCAGGGAGCATTCAGGAATATATGGATAAGAGTAGAGATGGTGCATGGTAGGGGTAATCCAGAATTTGATTTGGCAAGGCACAGCTAGCAAGAGGATAAGGACAGAAGGAATTCAAGAATAGCTGATAGTATACAGTTGACTAGGTTGGTTAGTTACAGATCCAAAATTGTGAAGAAAGGGAAATGAAATCTAAGCCAGAGAAGTAGACTGGGAAAACAAAGCTGGCATACCAGAGCCCATCATGAAGACAAAAACAAGGAGATGAGGTTGTAGTCAGAGAAAGGAATATCAGAGCTCTGAATCATGGAGGTGGAACAGTTACAGGTGATCATCAGGGCAAGGGTATGATCATGCCTGTGGCTGAGATAGAGGTCAAAGAAATTTAGGATGTTGAAGTATTGGGAGTCTAAGGTATATTAAAGTGGGATGTTAGTATACATATTAAAATCCCCAAATATTAGAGCCATGGTTGGGCTGAAGAGAAAGATTTTTTAAAATACAGGAAAACTCAAATACGTGGCCTCAGCAATTACACTTAAACATTTCTTTGGTCAGATGTTTTAGTTATTAAGGCACAGTGCTGGAAATATTATCCCCTATCTCATTCCTCCTATTCAAATACTCCTTCCTATCATGAGTGTATTTTTTTTTATGTTTAACTAAATGTTATTATTACAAATGGATACTTAATAAGATTGTAAGAAAGACAGGAACCATTTAGTGCTGGAAACACAAGCCAAATATTTTATTAGACTTTAAAATGAAAAAAACTGAGAGTAACCATATCTCAGTAAAAATCCATGACCCGTCTAAAAGAACCAGCTTTAGCATTCATGGCTCCCCAGTCCAGGTATCTCCTGTACTCCCCGGGTCTCAGAAGGTACTGTCTTCCTCTATAGCCGGGCATCTCATATAGGATCCAGGAGCCCTCTAACACATTGAGAGAGCGTATTTCACTCATATGGAAGCTGTCTTGAATAGAGTGACAATCATCCACGAGCTCTGTCATTTGGCCTTTGAAGTCATCTCTGTCATAGAACCTCAGCCTATAGGTGCCAGAGTACTGTAATAATTGAAACAAGAAATCAATGATGAAATAGAGAGCAGTCAAAATTTTCCTACCCAAAATCTTCTTGATTCCAATTTTACTAACAGGACATAGGTGTGGAGAATTAATTGGTCTCCTCCACTTGCTGGGTCTGGAGTCAGGAAGACCTGAGTTCAAATGTGGCCTCAGACACCTACTAGCTGTGTGACCCTGGGCAAGTCACTTCACCCTGTTTGCCTCCGTTTGTTCACCTGTAAAATGAGCTAGAAAAGGAAATGGCAAACCACTCCAGGATCTTTGCCAAGAAAACCTCCAATGGGATCACTAAGAGTCAGACATGACTGAACAATAACTACAACCTGCCTTTTGCATGATGATTCCTAAGCATGGCTCGGAATAGAGCCCAACAATCCAGTGCATCCTTCCTCACTTTGTTTTTTACGAAACGGCTTTCTTAAAGTAAGATTTACCATATCAACTTCATCTTTATTATTAGAGGAAATGCCTATAAATGAGTTAACATATGTAAATGATTTGCAAACCTCAAAGTGCTATATAAATACTAGATGAGGGAAAGTGTGAATTGTAAAGCTAACCATGATATATTTTCATCTGAAGATGAATTATCTTTAAACTATTTCCTCTAAGGCTAGTTTTTATAAATGCCACCAGCCCCGGGATCCTTAATCCTTTATATTCATAAGGCTTTTGAGATATGCCTTTTTCTCTCCATTTTCACACCTCTGTCCAGGCCCAAACCACCTTGAACCTGAACTGTTCTATTGGTTCCATTTTTAGAATTCTATGACTTTCGCTGGAAAAGGCCTCAGAGATCATCTCATTGTTCATTTTACAGATGAGAAAACTGAGGCACAGAGAGAGGGAGTAATTTATGCAAGGTCACACTGACAATAAATAAAAAAGAGTTACAATTTGAATTTATCTCTTCTGAACCCAAACTCATCTGCTACACCAATTGGACTCTGTCTCTGGGTTATGCTTTCCTCCATTTCATCCCACCCTCAATAGCAAGGGATATCCTTTAAACATTATTTTAATCACATAATCTTCCCAGCAAAACATTCAATGACTCCCAGATGAGTTTCCCACAATCACAGAATATACCAAACAACTTTCTGAACATGGCCTTCAGGGTCCCACTTTACCAATGTGCCTCCCTCTACTACCCAATTTTTTTCTTCATTCTGTCAAGGCTAAGTGGTATTGAATCAATGCCCTCTAGAGTGACCGATTACAAACTGATAAAACCGGGAAAGCAAACTGATAAAAAACAAACATAAAGTGTTTTAATACGATCAGAATTTCCAGATCATATTTATGAAAATTTAATGTACTGGATCTGTTAATTTAAGCATAAACCAGAGCAGCTATTCTTTGATAAGGCTTCTAAGTTTATAATCCCTCTGATTCCATGTTAGTCATTAGATCAAGAATCTTTGAGCCTGATAATTTCTTTATTCCATTTAAAAATATGGACCCTGGATTCCTATAATTAAAAGGCAACAGAAATGGGCCAATGAAAAATGGATAGGTTGAGATATTTCACCAGCCATCATACTCTTGAGAGAGATACGTTGTCCTCTGAAGTTGGGCTGCAGCCATTTACTAGCTAGCTAGATTTGGTTTGAGAAAAGAACTTTTAAACTGCTTGACTTTCCCAAAAGACTTCAAATGGAACCATACTCACTTGGGGAATGATGCGGCAGGATCTGATGGAGTCATTGAATCCCATCCACTGCTGGTAGTCTGGATACTCGCCTCTCCGGAGGTAATACTGATGGCCCAAGTAATTGGGGCGCTCATAAATCATCCAGCAGCCACTTTCTACCCGGATTGAGTTGCAGCGGTTGAAGTAGGCCTGCAGGTTGGGGCAGTCGCTGTCGCATTCATAGGATCGGCCCTGGAAGCCCCGGTCCTCGTAGAAGATGATCTGTAGAATGAAATATTGGGGAGGGTTAAGAAAGCACCTTATTGAATAAATACATTGTCTCAGCTCTGTCTCAGCATTGCTTTCCTGTGGTCTTACCTTTCCCATTTTGGAGAGAGTTGGAGACGTTCACTCAGTGTTGTTTGCCGCTGTGGTGGAAACTACTGTATATATAGCAGCACTTCCTGCTGCCTCCGCAGGAATAACACAGACGGAGCCCATTTTGGTGAGTAAGGGGATTTTCCGTGTTCTTTTCTTTTCTGTGATCATGGTCAGGGGGAATCATTGAATGTTTCCCTCTCCCTCTTTCTGGCGAGTTCGAATTGTCCTAATTCACTAACACTGCTGTTGCTTTTGAAGTGAGAAGGGTTTCCATTCTCTCAGAATAATTATATTAGGAGAAGAGAAAGAATGAGATAGTTCTGTCCCCATGACTCCGTATGGCTCAGTTTCTAACTGTGACTGAACTAAGCAGATTATTCTCCCTGGAGTATGGAGTTTTTAATCATAATTTTTAAACGGACACATATAACGTCCTGTAAGGGAGGGATTGAATAAGATCCCTGATTTAAAAAATACGAGGTTCTATAAATTCAAATAATTGTTATTATTGTTGCTATGACAATTGTATTTATTATCAAAACTCATTTAGGCAATTTTGCCAAGATGGTGAAGTTTATCTTTAGTCTCTTTCTACCTTCTCTTCTGCATGATTTGTCATTTTCTAATCCTGCCTTCCACTTGGTTCCATACTGCCCTTTGATGGCTCAAAGCCACTTTGCTATTCTGCTCATACCTTACTTACTAAAGAAACCTACACTATAAAACTCCTTCTCTTTCCTTCTTCCTTGCATCCTCCACAGTAAAATTTTCAACTTGATGATGCTGGTAGCTAGATATTAGAACTAGCTGAGGCATGAAAGGCAGTGTGGTATGGTGGAAAGAACACTGGATTTAGAGTCAAAGGACCTGGCTTTGAGCCCTAGCTCTGCTATTTAATGTTTACGTGAACTTGGACAAGTCATCTCTGGGCCTCAGTTTCTTCACCTATAAAATGATTCTGTTGGGCTAGTCAGAGGTTCCCAAACTTGTCTGGTCTATCACCCCCTTTTCAAAAAAAAAATTACTCAGTCCTCCCCTGGAAATCTTCTTTCTTTAACCCTTTAAGGACTTTTAAAAATTTGCATCATTTCAAAAAATATAAAATACATATATTTAAAATGACACATCTTAAATTTAATAATTTATTGTAAATTTATGGCTTTTTCCCACATTGAAATTTTGATGATGCAATATTGGTAATGTAATCATATAGTACTGTATTGTAAACAAGTCATTACATGCACACATTCCTGCCAATGCATGCTAGACTTCCCAACAATGCAGAAGGTGCTTGCTTGCCAGCCAACACTTACTTGTTAAGACCTGTTGGCGGACTTGACCACTGATTAGTTATAACTTGCATTTTGTGTGTTTATTTGGAAGATAATGTCATCACTATGACCTTGACTCTGTTACATAACAAATGAAAGTAGGAATGGTTTTCCAAAATTTTCTTATCTTCTCTTCTTTCCTTATGCTTCCACTGCCCCCCTTTTTTTTTAATTCAAGGCCCCCCAATTGCACTTCAGGCTACTACTTCCCTCCTGGATCATTTCAGTGCACCTGGGCCTGGTATCATCAACTTTGGGAACTTATGGACTGGATGATGCCTAGTGTCTCATTCAGCATTAAATCAATAATCCTATGATTTAACTGTTTGACCCTTGGCAAATCACTTTACCTCTGTGAGATTCTGTTTCTGCATCTGAAAAATGGGTATAGTAATACTTGTATTAGCTGCTTCACAGGGTTATTGTAACCGACTACATTAAATGGATGATGATGATGGTGGTGGTGAGGAAAATATTCTAACAATCTACACTATGGTGAGAATGTTTGATAGAATAATTTAAAAGAGAATAAATATAAAATAGTTAAATATAGAGAGAGGGAAGAGCACTAGCGGTCATGGGTATCAGGGGAGGATTCACATAAAAAGTGGTTCATGAGCTGCATCTTGGAGGAAAAAAGGAATTGTGTTAGCCAGAACTGAGAAATGAATGTACTCCAGGTGTAAACACCAGGTGTCACTGGGGAGGGCAGAGTTTTTCTAAGGACTTTCCTTTCTTTTGGAAAAGGGAGGAGCAGACGATGCCAGACTATTTCAATACCTATCTCCTTCTTCAGGGTAAGTTTTGGGCAGAGGTTTCTCTTTTATCCCCGCTTCTCTTTCATTTCATCCATCCTCCTTCTCTGATATGGAGGTGGTGATTACTAGCCCAGAGTCAATGTGACCCAGACTGCTGCAAATAAAAAGATTAACTCTCTATTTAAACCCAAGGGTAAATTTTGATCCAAATCTAAATGGATTCTTTACTTTGAAGCTAGAAAGGTAAAATACAGATTATTAGTAAAAATCGTGGGAACTCAGAGCCCTCAAAGCCATGACCTCTGGATGCCAGGATAGACATAGTTTCTCACCTATTAAGTTCTGCGTAGTCAAATAGTCACTGCCTCTCCTTACCCTCCATACATGCTTTCTATACATGACACACATTAAGAATGTAATTAAGGTTTGATCTTAACTTTATCTAGAGCAAAACTTTTTTGAAACACTATCCAAGCTGCAAGTAAGCCATTTAAGAAGATAGAAAATACAGTAGAAGTAAAGTAGAAGAGTCAGGAGGGATAGGAAATAAGAGATATACACAAACATAAAAACAAAGAATAGGAATAGAATCTCTCAGGGAAAGTATATATTTATATATGTATGTATGTGTGTATATGTGTATGTATGTATCAATATATATATTTATAGTAATACAAGTATTACTATATATAAATACATCCATGCTTAATTGTAGCCTAGAAGGGGAAAAGGGTGAAGGAAGAGGGGAAAAAAAATTAAAGTGTTCAGCAGAGAACAAAAGAAAACCTACAAGGAAGTAAAGATGGACTGCTTTCAACCTTATGCATAGTATTTGTTATATAGGCTTTCCTAAATGGAAATTTATTGATATATTTTGAATACTCTTTTATGTTCTGCTGCGCACATGATGTGTTTTTTCTTTTCTTATTTTGTATTTGTTTATAATATGCTTCTTTTTCTTTTCTTATTATGTATTTAAGTTTTAGTATTCAAGCCTAAAATTTAAAAAAAAACATTTAAAAAAGATGATAGAAAACACTTAAGATCATATGGTAAAGAAGCAGAGGGAAAACAGAAAGTAAATTCACCAAGTCCCCAGCAGTGTCTTGGCATAGGCACAGTCAATTATTTCCCAGACAAATTCTTAAGATTAATGAAGCACAGAGCAAGGAACACTTCTGCTGCTCAACTCTTATGGTCAGTTTCCATTTATAGCATCTTCCATTGCTGCATTCCTTGATCACGCCCCTCTATTGATCTTCACGAATTGGTTCTGATTGCCCAGGTCAGTGTAATTCTACTCATTCTGGCCCAAAGTGCATGTTAGAGCCCATGTCTTCCTGAGTTGGTAAGACTGCACTGTCTCTGAGAAACTGAACCTCATTTCCCATGGTGCCTTTGTGGTTAAACCCTTGGAAATTTCCTCTGACCACAGAGATTTGTTGCCCAAAGGCCCTACACAAGCATGAGGGACAGTCAGTGCAAAGGTCTGGAGACAGGAAATAGAGTGTTGTGTGAGGAATGGAGAGAAGGCCAGTTGGGATGGATCACAGAGATCAGGAAGAAAAGTAATGTATGATAAACCCAAACAGATATGCTAGGGCCAGATTGTGAAGGGCTTTTAAAAGACAAACAGAGGAATTTATATTTTATCTTAGAGGAAATAGGGAGAAACAAGTTTATTGAGTAGGGGAGTGATATGATTAGATCTGTACTTTTGAAAATCACTTTGGCAGTAGAGTGGAGGATAGATGGGATGTGGGAGAGGCTTTAAGGAAGGGAGACCAGTTTGGAGGCCGCTCAATTATCCAGGCAAGAGGGTGAGGAGGACTTGAATGAGTAGGCACAGAGAAGGTTTAGATTGCTAGAAATCCACAATTAAAGACCACTAATTAAAACCAGCATTTCCTAGTCAGGTACTGTGATTTAAGCCCCAAAATCTGTCAAGGATCAGAGGAGTCCAAGGGAATTAGTAAGGGGTACTTTCAGTGTTATGGATGTATTTTAGCTCAAAGGTAGCTTAGTTTATCTCAGGGATTAAGAAAATCATCCAATCCTGGAGGTGACAATAGGGCCTTTTGATTTAAACAGGAAAGGGTATCCTCTCAAGGTTATGATCAAAGCATCTGGAAGACATTATTGGAGTTAACAATTCAGAACCAGGGAGTACCTTCTTGGCATCCACATCTTTGGAAGAAGAAATAGCAAGATTTGGCAGCTGATTAGATATGTGTGGTAAGGGAGAATGGGGAGTCAAGGATAATGCTAAGGTCCAAATCTAGGATAGATGGAGGATGTTGATACCTTTGAGAGAAATAGGGACCTTTGGAAGATGGGTAGGTTTGTGGGTAAAAGAGAAAGTTTCTGAGTTCTGTTTTAGACATGTTAAGTTTGATATATGATGCTTTTCCCCCTGTCCCATCTGCTCCCTAGGTTTTTTGTAAGGATCAAATGAGATATTTGTAAAGCTTAGCACTGTGTCTGCCACAATAGTAGGCACAGATAAGGACTTGTTTCTTTTCTTCCTTTCCTTCCTGTCTTTGATCCCCTCCCCCAACATTAGGGTACATGTCAAGGAGTGGAATCGTCATATGAAGGGGTATGACTATCTTAGTGAATTTTAAAAAAACTTACTGGCCGTATGAACACCAGTGGGTCACTTAATCTCTCTGAAGCCTTTCTGTAAAATGAACACAATAATCCTTTCACCATGTATCTCACAGAGTTGTGTAAAAAATCACTTTACTAACCTGAAGCAATATCTAAATGGCCAGGTGAGTCTTGGAGGTGTGATTAGGCGGCACAGATTAAGGGATACAGTGATCAGGATTCCCCAACATATTTCCTTGTGGATGTGTTCATAATCTCCAACTACTTTGTTTTTTATTTTTCAGTTGTTTAGTTGTGTCTGACTCTTCATAACCCCATGGACCAGA